CAAATTTTTTTTTTTCTTTTTCGTCCCCAAGCCCCCCAGTATATAGTTGTATATTCTAGTTGGGAGTGCCTCTGGTTGTGCTATGTGGGACGCCGCCTCAGCATGGCCTGACCAGCAGTGCCATGTCTGCACCCAGGATCCGAACTGGTGAAACCCTGGGCCACCAAAGCGGAACGTGCAAACTTAACCACTCAGCCACAGGGCTGGCTCCTCTGGTGTGTTTTTAATGTGACAATTGTATGTGTAAAGTATGTCTCTCCCTGTTAAATTTGCAGGTATGTTATCACAGTACAGGAAGGAATGTTTCCAGTCAAAGGCTCAAGGGTTACAGTTAAAGGCTGAGAGATAGGGAAAATCTGTGAGTTATTTGAAATACCAACCACCTGTGTGGTGCGTTTACTCCAAGGGAGAGGCTGAGCAAAGGTGGCAGGGTTTAATATGGAAGCAGTAGCACTTGTACTGATTTTTATTGGAAATGTTTCAGGTATGGTTTTTAAGAGACTTTGCCCAACTTTTCAGGCTTGTTTTTAGACCCTTGGGTTTATTGCAGTAAGAGAGATTCTGTAGGTCCTTTTCCGGGTCAGTCCAATCTGTTTTTGTCATCCGGGAGTTAGCATCTGCAGTTCTGACCAATATGTATATGAGTGATATAAGTCAGGTAATTCTGGGTCATACGCACTCAAAAGAATTCTAACTTCTATGAATATTTGCTTGTCTTGTCTGAATTTAAGGAAACCTTTACTAATAGCTCTTAATTCTGCTTGAGTCCAAGGTTTAAACTCTCCAGTTGCCTAAATACCTGGTGCATGGGGGATGGGTCTTTAGAGGCAACTGGCATTTTAGGTTCTTGGGAGAGTTCTTGGGAACAGGTGGGGAGCCTGGACCAGGGGAACTGGAGTTGATGGAAATGCAGAAGGAGAGATGGAAGGGCAGGGGAAGAGGGAATCTGGAACAGGGAGGCAACAGGGGATAAAGATGGAGGATTTACTAGAGAAATAACTCTACTTTGTTCTTGTTTGTCATATGCTCATTAGCTTTGGCCCGAGAATCTTTTAACGAAGCAATTTTTGATTCAGACTTTTGTTCCGAAGCCTCTTTATGCCCAATCAAAAAATGCTGCCCGTTGAACCTAAGAAATCTTGTTCCTGATCTTTTCTAGGGTGCCTCCCCACTGAACAATTTTGTTCAAGTCAAATCACCCTTGGTGTAGCTATTCCATTTAGAGAGACACAAGAAATAGGATTGTATTGAGAACACATATAAGAAGCAGGCATTTTGCCTGGAGGAGGAGAGGATTTAGACTTAGATGACCCCATAAGAGCTGGTGATGGTGGGTAAAAAGCGATGCTTGTGCTCCTTGTGTCTTAGGCCTCCAAGCTGACTGTTGACTGCCTCTGAATGCAGACCCAACAGTCTCCATCCCCTGGCAGGTGGAAAACCGGACAGAACACTCTTTCTGGATCAAAGCCAAACTCTCAGGACAGAAAAAGTCAGGACAGAAGAACCTCATCTGGTTTTATTGATGACCCACAGCAAAGTTTGTCCAAAGGGATGCTGGTCTGGCGAGAACTGCAAACTCATCAGACTGTGAGGCTGGCTCAAATGACAGGCCTACAGGACCTGTTACTGTGCTCTACTCAGCGATTCCCTTTCTTGTGGAAACACTTTTAGAGAGTACAACACAAACAGAAACATAAAAGAGAGTAAAAGGGGATGCACAGGAATGGCTTGATTCCACCAAGGATGCCAAGTAAATGGAACCCATAACAAAACCTGGTACCAAACTGACAATAAATAGCCAAGGAACTCAATGCAGTGAGAGAGTTCAGACCTAGTGCTGACTTACCACATTCACAAGGACTCGATAAGCTGAGAGTAGCGGGGTGCACAGTGCCTCCATGGATACCGCACCTGATTGAAGCCTGGGGTCCATGGCGATGGGTGGTGCAGACTATATCTCACTGGGGCCTCCAGGAAAACTGAAAATAAACAAAGGCCACTCAAATGAGAACAAGCAGAGACGATTTATTCAGAGCTTCCTACACCAAGGGAGTCAGCCCCATCACTTGCATTTGACGGAGACTTATGGGCAGGCAGGGGAGTAGGAAAGCTTTGTAGTGGAAAAGCGGAGGGCTTCAGGTGTGTCTGACTGGAGGTTGTTGGCGTGGGGAGGCTGGAGGCAGGTTAACTAGAAGCAGGGGATCCTGCACGATTGATTTGGTTTGTGTGTTTTGTGTCTTCGGCATAGCATATGTGGCTTTCTCTAGCTGATCCTGAGTTGGAATAGGGGGTGGAAATTAGGGAAGCTCACAGTAATTGACCAAGTTCTAACCATTTTGGGCCAGTTACTGCAGAAGTTATGGTTTGGCTTCTGAGGTGGTGGCTACAAAGATTGTGGGTCAGAGTTCTATTGTCATATGTGATCTGGCAATTGTCCATCTGTATATTCAGTCTCTCAGATCCTGTTATCCCCATGGCTACCAAGGAGCCCAGCTCTCTAATGGCATCCTGCCGTCACTGGCCAACTCTGGCCCACTGAGCTTCTCAATGAGATTGGTGCCTCTCCAGTGCATTCCTGATTGCTTTCTTACACAATGACCTTCTAGGCCCTCTCCCACGTCATAGTAGCTGAGATATTATTCAGCCTTAGGTAGGATATCCTCTGAATAGTACCCACTGCTCTGGATCTTTTGATCCTTTATTCTACTGTCTGCCTTGGCAGTTATGGCATTTCTACTTACCTTTGTGTAGGACATTCTTTTCTCCGAGCTCCCAAGAAGCCACCTGTCTGAATGTGAGCACTGTCTTACACGGTCCTTGCCAGGGTGTTCAATCCTATAGTATGGGAGAGTGCTTCTAAACTGATAAACTCTCCCCTCACTAGGCTGACATCCAGCACCCTAGGCCCTATCTATACTTGGCTGCTGCTGGTATATGTTGAGTGAGACCTGCAGCTCTTCCAGGGCATATGCAGTCCCCTTCCTTATGTACATGCCTAGCATTTCCCTGACTGGATCATATTATGCTTAACTTTAATTACTGGCCTGGGGGTGAAGACAGGGCATGAGGGTAGATCTTGAGGTTGGTGCATATTGTCTTGCCAGGCACAGGCTTCTGCATCATCTTACAGCAAGGGAGGAGTGCCAACTTTTGACAGAGAGGATTGAGAAAGATCTGGGGATTCAAGATATTCAAGTGTGTCTTCCTGGTGGTTTCCATCCAATGTCTCAGGGCCCAATCAGGCTGTGACTTCACCATTACATACTTGCCTAGTTTGAGAATTCAATATTCTATGGTACTCCGCTAGCCCTACAGCAAATCCTGGGCCCAGTCCTCAGTCATCACCCCCACCCCTTTTCAATCCAGGAGACATAAGCCTATTTGATGCTGCCGAGGAGACCGTATGGATCTCGTATTTAGGTTTTATTGTAGTTAGTCACCCTCAACCTTTCATTCTTTTTCTAAAATGCATTGATTGTCTCAACAAAAGCCATTCAATTCCATGCAACTTATAAATATTACCTCTTATACTTACTCTGTCTCCAAAATTTCTCAAATGCCTGGGATATTGCCAATGCCAGGGTATTCCCTTCTACAAGTATCCTAATCAGTTCACCATCAATTAAGATCTTATCTGCTTTGCTGTAGCATGCCATGGGCTATTCATATTCCATGATTCAGCTCTGAAATCCATTTTAGTGGCTGCTTCCTATGACAACTCCAGGCACCAAGTGTCTTAAATTAGTTTGGGAAGACTCTAAGACGGAGATTTGCATGCAGGAATTGGGAAGAATAAAGGAAATATGACTGAGCAGATGGAAATGTTGAACTGGGTTGCAGTTGCAACACACGCCTCAGCCAACCCACTGAGAACTCTAGAATTGGGATGGTCCTTCAGAGTTGTCTCAAGTCAAGTGAATTGGGCCTATACACCCCCTAAATGAGCAGTCATTAGAGCGGACTGTCTGTGGAGGTCGAGGGTAATTCCTGGAGAGCAACTCAGCTGAGTTAGCTGCTAATACTTCCAGCAGTCCTGATGGGGTGGGTATATAGACAGTCCACCCCAGCATACTACAGCATTGGAATTGGAAATTGGGCCATGTTGATGGCTTGAGGAGGAGAACTGTGATTTTTGAGTGGCAAATTATATGAGCTCCATATGCTCGGTTCTGAGTTCTGAATCTTAGGGAACCAGGAAGAAGCAAATACAAACTTCAAACATGGAGCAGAAAATGAATTGCATTCAAATTGTGTCCACAAAAAAATTTTCTTTGCCCAGGAGGAAATCAATCTCATTAAATGTTGCCAAATAATTGGAGATTTTATGCCTGAGGAAATGGAATTATTGAGCTAACTGATACAGAATGTAAAATAAGAATGCTTAAATTCTTCTAGAGATAAAGGAGGAGATAATACCCATGAAACAAGAAAAGAAGTTTATATGACATTGAGCAAAAATTGTGAAATAAGAGCAGGTAGATATTAAAAAACCCCAAGTAATTAGAAGTCTTGAAAAGGAAAAATGCAGTATTTGAAATGAACACTGTCCTATGAAGAACATAGTATTTTGAAACTAGAAAATGACAGAATCAGTGAATTTGAGGAGAGAAAGTGGGTTATTATACAGGGTAGAAAAATACAGATATTAAGAGACAGAGGGGGAGGGGCATTGATTAGGCAGCACGACCATTTCTGTAATAGAAGTTCCAGAGATTGGAGAGTGGTTCAATAGTCCAAGAGATAATGACTCACTCTTTTCTGAGATCTAAAGAAAAAGTTAATTCTCCAGATTTAGAAAGCTCAATGAGTTGCAGCAGCCAAAATGTCTACTGCTGAACACATTAAGCTGAAATCGTAGAACATCAAAGTCAAGAAAAATACTAACGTAAACAGCCTAATCCCTTACAAGGAAATGGCAATACAAATGACAGGGCCACTCACCTGCAACAGGAGATGACAGGGAAAACAATAGAGCAACATCTTTAAAGTAGTGAAAGAGGACAGGCTTTATTTTAGAATTCCAAACCCAGTGAGAATATGACATAAGTTTAAAGGTGTAACTGAAATATTTGCAGACATACAAAACTAAGATTTATACACAGGCCACAGCTGAAAGAATTTTAACGGGTATATCTTGGTAAAAGATACAAAGAGGACTGAATGAAGGAGCGGAATGCAAGGACAGAAGGTGGGCAAAGACACTGGCACAGCATGTGGGTAAAGCTACATAATAGTGATTGATGCTCAACAGACAACACTAGCATCTTGTGGACTTCAGCTTTAGCACTGATAATTTATTTCGTTATAAAATATGACACAAGCCTGGTAAAATAATGACATTTTAAAATTAGGAGCAGAGCGTATCTGGTTGTTTTTTAAAAACAACAAACAAAACAAAAAAGACCTCAGGATGGAATTAGAATTGTACGACATAATGTGGAATAGCAGAAATGCAAAGATACTTTGTCATTAGAAGGCTCATCAGTGCAAATCACCACACGAACAGATAAAAAAAAAAACTACAAAAAATCATCCTTTGCATACAGAAAAAAATGTGTCAAAATTTAATATTTAAAACCCGTAAAGTGAGCCTGCAGTTCTTGCCTTTCCCCTTTCACCTTTCTCTCATCAGGTCCTCAGAAGGGCATCCAATTTTTAAAATCCTGAAGCCCCAAGCCTGGTGTCATTTGCCAGGTTTCTGTTGCCAGTTTTCTGTATGTACCCCAATGACCCAGAGGCTCCATGTAGCTTTTTATGTCTACACGCAAAATTAAAAGTGCCATTTAAAATAATTTGATAAAACCTTTGTAGTCATTTAGCCAAAAACAACCAAAACAAAAATCCAAAATTTTTCATGATCAGAATGACTGAGAACTAACTCTTCAATAGGATATAGGTTATCTACCCACTGTGTACAGAAAAGATCATAGTTTCAGAAATTTAGAAGCATTTGCATTAACAAAATGCATAGACAGGGATGCCCCTGTCAACCATACTGCTCAACCTAGAGCTGAGGGAATAGCCAATAAAAAAAGTTAAGGAAAAATAAGATGTAAGAGGCTTGTCAAAAAGAGAGACAACATTCTCATTATTTGGAGATATTATTGTCTTTGTCAGTCAAATAAGAGACTCTACAGACAAGGCATTAAAGAAATTAAGTAATTTTGCTGGATACCAGATCAACATAAGAAACAAATTATTTCTATATGTCAGTAACAATGTACAAAATATATTTGGGATCTTAGAACTATAAAAACACAGAATCTTTAGAATTATAAACTTTCGCAGGACAGGAGAATTATATTAAAAATATATAAGAAAAAAAAGAAAGGAAAGAGTTGGTTCTTTTGGGAAAAAACCAACCAACCAACCCAACAATATAGTTAAACTCTTAGCTAACTTAGTCATTACAAAAGAGGAGGGCTCGTGATCATTGTTCCCCATCCGCGTTTGTTTTGTATCCAACAAACGTTTGTCCACATACAAGTATTTGTTAGATTCCCCAAAAGGGGCTAGCCACATAAAGAAAAGGTCAAACCAGTGAGAAGGTTGTAATAACCTAGCACGGGCACTAGGGCCCAGACCCATTAAACCTAAGAAATTCAGTAATTAATTTGGGAGAAAAGGGGTGCAGTGGTAGGGTGTTGGAGAAAGGATGGATTTTTAGAGAAAAGTGCTGGAGCCGAGGTTCCAAGCTAAACTGGGAGGAATGGAGCTCCTCAAGGTGACTTCTCCAGAGAGAACAACCTAAGCGGCCATCTGGACGTCGCAAAGTACACTACATTTCAAGTAGCATTTCTTCGCCCTGGTCATCTTCCTTCTAGATGTTCTAGTTCTCCACTGATCTAAAATTCTCCGATGCAGCCTGCATCAAAAAAGCATCTGTCTGTTATACACGCTTGGTGATTCCTGTAGGTTGTGCAATGGACACACAGCTGTTATCAGAAGACCTTCTCATGATCCCCAGCCCGGTGCCCAGGGACTGTGGGAGGCGGTTCATTCCTCGAAGAGGCGTCTCCGGGCCTTGCGCGGAGGACCAATAGGGCGCGGGGGGCGCGCGTGGGGACCTGGACTCGGAGAGGGAGGCAGAGGTTGGAGGGGCGAGGTGGGAAAGGGCTCCAGAAGGTGGAAGTCCAGCTGGTAGTAGGGGCCAGGAGAGCGTCTCTCTGGACTAGGGGTGGGGGCCCAGGGCGAGGGCTCTGGGACTCGGCCGTGCGGGGAGGGGCCGCACTCCCTTCCAGGCGAGGGGCGGAGCCCAGCGACTGAGCCAGCTGCAGGGGCCGCCCAAGACGGCGGGAACTCAGGGTCGGCGTCCTCGTCGTAGGCCTCGACTTGGGCGGCGACCTCCGGGACAGATGCGCAGAACAATCCCTGCTCGACGGCGGCGGCGTCCCCGGGAGCGCCCGGGAAAGCGGCCGGTTCCAGGCCGAAGGGCGAGTGGGCCTGGCCTCCGGAGCGTTGGTCGCCGGCGTCCAGGAGGGCCTGGGGGACCAGCACGAGGGTGTGATCTCCGAGAGACACTTGCAGGACCGACGTTGGCTCGGGCTCCAGCAGCAGGTCGACGTGGTCCAGGGGCAGCTGCAGGGCGCAGCCCGCGGCCAGGACCACGACGGAAGTGAGCGCGGCCGGGGCCGGGGGCCCCACCACGTCTTGGAGGCTGGGCGCCGGCTGGGCCTCGAGGCCGGCGGGCTCCTCCCACCGGCGGCGCTTGGCGGGGCCGGGTCCTCCGGGCTGCGGTCCCCACCAGGGTGCAGGGTAGGCGCTGGGGCTGCGGAGCCGGCTGCCCATCACGTCGACGCGCTGCGGGCTTTGCTCCCGGGGCCTGGCGGAGGGCATGGGGGGCCGTGTCCTGCACGCGGTGACAGGTCTGGACGCCAGCAGAGGCGGGCTGCGGGCGGGCGGGGCGCAGGCCGGCGCGACGCGGGCGAGTCGTGGGAGCTCGTGGGGCGCCGCGGGGAGGCCGCGGTCCTGGCTTCTCGGGGAGCCGCGCAGGTGCAGCGCTGGGCCTCGCGCGTTCGAATCTCCTGCTCCTCACCCCGGCCGGTTTGCGCCCCGGACGGCCAGTGGTGTTGCAAGTGACGCCTGCCTAAGCAAAGTCGCAAAATGTCACGCTAAGCCCCGCCCCCTGCGAGGCTCCACCTGTGGAGATCGCGGTATCTGTGCAGCCCAATAGCAGCGGCTGTAGCTGGTATGTGGCTGTCGGGAAATACTTTTACAGGCCTCTAGGGGGCAGAACAACCGTGCCACTGGGCTTCCAGGGTCAAGTTCTGGGCCTTCCTTGTGTAGATCTCAAATGCAGAAGACCTTAATTGGAAAACTGATTGCCTTTCCAGTCCACCAGTGGAACGCTGCACAAGGACACCGAGATGTAAGCCCCACTCCTCTGAGGCCCTGCCCCGGAAGTGACCTCCACTCTTCTTTTGGTCCAATAGTGAGGTGAGTTTTTGAATGATGCTGTTGTACCTCTGTTCCCCTAAGTTGTAAATAACTGTCGCATCCTTTCAGCGGTGTTCAGTTTGAGTGTGATAATAGCAGCCCCTGCATGGTGAATTTATTACTATACTATGTATATATAACAGTGTAGTACTACAGTAAATATTATACTACTATCCACTGAAGTAAGAGTTCACGTTATCTGATTTGACCTAAACTACAGCGCAAAGCGTATCTACTTTTAGCCTAGCTTACAGATGATGAAGATGTCCTGCAGCTAGCGGAGCCGGGTCTGACCCGTCAAGCTCCGCTTATGATGCAGCCCTGGATCTGAGTGTCAATTTAAAGGTGTATCTGTGCAGTGTATTGTGGCCGCCAAAGGGAAGGTGTGGCTTAACTGCTGATCTAGTGTTAATAGGAGAAAATACTCAATACTGATTTTGGAGCAGGTAGTACTTTTGAATGGCTACAGAGGATGATGAAATGTTTCCTCCCATCCCTGTCCCTTATCCACGTGATTGCTCACGTTGTCCCTTTTTACAAAATGGCAGTCTATATACTCTCTCTTTGTTTTGGTAAGGAATGTTTGCCCTGAGCTAACATCTGTGCCAGTCTTCCTCTATTTTTGGTATGTGGGACGCCACCACAGCATGGCTGATGAATGGAGTAGGTCCCCGCTGGGGATCCAAACCGGCTAACCAGGGCCAGCAAAGTGGAGCCTGTGGAACTGTAACCACTCAGACACAGGCTCACCCCTATATGCTCTCATTTTAAGGACTGCATAGCGTTCCTATATACGGCCTTTAAATTTGTCAGGCCTCTCTTGATGGACATTTAAACTAGTGGTCTGTGACTTGGCGCTGTTGGCATTCCCTGGCGCATTTGTGGAAATTTTACATTCTTTGCTTATCCCGGAGCCACAGAGTCAGAATTCCTAAAGCGTGGGAATTCGCTGTTAAGTACTTAAAAAAATTTCTGTTTTACGCTAAAGATTAAGGTCTCAGAACTTGTTTTCATTTTGCAGTTGAGGGGTTCAGGTAGGGGGGCGATTTATGTTCGCAGCCAGGGCCCTGCTTGTCGGTGACAAAGTTACGAAGGGAACATAAGCTTCCTCGCCTGCATTCAGGGTTTTTCCCTGCACAACTGGCCCGCGTCTGACGGCTGGATTTCCGGCGTTCCCCGCTGCGCGGCGGGAATTTCCCAAGGTGGCGCCACCCAGGGGCGGGCTCTGGTTGCCGCGTTGGGGGCCCTCCCCGGAACCTGCGGGCCCAGCGGGGTGGACGTGGACGCCGCTGGCACATACGCCCTGGCGTTCAGGTGGTGGGAGCAGCTGCTGTGCTCCTGGTATCTGGGCAGAGGGCAGTGCTGATGGAGCAACTTGCAGGATGTGGCTGCTTTGGCCCTCAGGAATTGTCTGCGACCCTTGAGCATTCCATGCTCGAGGAATAATGGGGACACCATTCAGGGGAGTGAGGGTGGACGTGCCATGCTGTAAGGGACAGATGGATGAGCCCAGAGCCGGGCAGGATAGAGGGAGGGGCTCGGGGTTCCTGGCCTGGCCAGTAGTGGGGCTCAGAACGCTGTGGAGCCTGTCCTTGGCTGGTGCCACCTCGTGCTCACCTGACCTCAGCAGTTTCACCGGCGAGCTCATCATTGTCCTGGGCCTTGTGAATCCTCACTGTGGCCTCGCCTTCCAAGGGAATGTTGGTCCTGCCCCGAGTCAGAAGCAGCTAGCGGGGGTCCTGGAGTAGACGCACTGATTTCGTCTTCTAATTGGGTGATCGTGGGCAGTCACCTTCTCTAAGCCTCAGTTTCCTTACATGTAAAATGGGGAGAATGCCATCTCCTGTGCAGGGCAGTTGTGAAATAATGTATGTAAAATGTTCTCGGAACATAGTTAAGTCCTTAGGAAATAGTAGCTATTTACTGTTTATTATGTTTATAATCTGTCTCTCCCGCTTAACGGTATCAGTCACGCTCCCAGCATCTTGAACAGTGCCGGGAATGTAGCCAGTGTTCAATGAATGGTAAAGAATACCACCATCATCGTCATGGTCATCACTAAGAAGGCGGCTGCTCTGTTAGAAAGTACTCTTCCAGGTGTTTTCATGGGATAATATCTATACGGCTCAGGAATGGCTTGCTGAGCACCAGATCAGCCATCTTTCCTCCTGCCTGACTTCACTTTCTTCCCAGTGACCAATGACTATCCGTGTGGATTATCAAGGACCACTCATTGGGCTTCCGTGGTGTCAATCAACACTGCCTAACCAATCAGCATGAATTCCTCGAACCACTGTGGGGGCGGGATTAGCAAATATATCTTCAGCTTACCGGCAGGGTACACGGTGACGCAGACAAGTCCAATTGGGAAAAGAAAGCCGAGGGAACGTGCGTACGAGAAGCTAGGCACGAAGTGGACGTTGCTGAGTGGGACTCGAGAGTTTCTTTAGCAGTGACCGTCTGGGCACTGTGAATCCTTTGTTGGTTCATTTGGGACCCTGAGGCCCTGGCCCAGGGCTTTAGGCCCGACAGTGCTCTTGGCATTAGCTCTAATGCGGGCCTTTCTGTTATTCTCCATAATTGGCTTTAAGAAATTCCTATTTATTTTTATTCACACAAGTAATAATACCGCCAAACTTCTCAAACTGTGCTTTCTTTGAATGGAGCTGAAAGATGACCCCCCCCCCCCACAAGGAGATCAGACGAGTGGAAGCAATTGCATTCAGCAGGGCATTCCCCCTCCCCCCGCCCCCCCCCCCCCCCCAAGGGCCAGGATCATGGCGGGCCGGAGGAGGGATGACTTTTAAGCCACCGTGGTAGCTGAAGCGCTTTGTTAATGCAATTTCTTAGCTGTGTGCGACAGAAAGTAGACGAGATTAGGGAGGTCTTCTAAAAAAAATTCCTGTTTATTTTTATTCACATAAGTAATAATGTCTGAATACATTTTCAAAAAAATCTAAACATCGTTACTGAGTATTTATCCAAAGGACATGAAGTCAATAATTCAAAAAGATATATGTACCCCTATGTTCATCTCAGCATTTTTCATAGTAGCCAAGATGTGGAAGCAACCCAAGTGCCCATAACGGATGAATGGATAAAGAAGATGTGGTATATAGATATATAATGGAATACAATTATCATGTGATTTCACTTATATGTGGAAGATAAACACATGGACAAAGAGAACAGATTGGTGGTTACCATAGGGGCAGGGGTTGAGGAAAGTGAAAGGGGTAAAGAGGCACATGGGTATGGTGACGGATGGCAACTAGAGTGCTGGTGGTGAACATGATGCAGTCTACACAGAAACTGAAATATAATGTATACCTGAAACGTACACAATGTTATAAGCCAATATGACCTCAATAATATAATTTAATTAAAAAAATCTAAACAGTGTAGTTAAAGCTGTAGTGTAAGTGGAGTGTGTAAGTGGAGTGTTCAAGTCCCCTACTATTATTGTGTTGCTGTCTATTTCTCCTTTTATGTCTGTTAATAGTTGCTTTATATGTTTAGGTGTCCTATGTTGGATGCATAGATATTTACAAATGTTATATCCTCTTGTTGGCTTGTTCCCTTTATCATGATGTGGTGCCTTTGTCTCTTGTTACAGTTTTTGTTTTAAAGTGTATTTTGTCTTATGTAAGTATTGCTACCCTGGCTTTCTTTTCATTGCTATTTGCATGGAGTATCTTTTTTCATCCCTTTACTTTCAGATTGTGAGTGTCTTTAGGTCTGAAATGTGTCTCTTGTATGCAGCATATATATGGATCTTGTTTTTTTTATCCAATCAGCTACTCTATGTCTTTTGATTGGAGCATTTATTCCATTGACATTTCAAGTACCTATTGATAAGAATGTACTTATTGACATTTTCTTACTTTTTTAATGGGTGTTTTTGTAGTTATTCTCTGTTCCTTTCTTCTCTCCCTCTCTTCCTTTGTGGATTGATGGCTTTCTTTAGTACTACGTTTGGCTTCCTTTCTCTTAATTTTTTTGGTATTTATTATAGGTTTCTGGCTTATGATTACCATGAGGTTCATATATAATAAGCTATGTATATAGCAATCTATATTAAGTTGATGGTCTCTTTAGTTTGACCTCTTGCTAAAAGCTCTACTCTTTTATGCCCCTCCTCCCATATTTTATGTTTTTGATATCATATCTAACCTCTTTTTTTGTGTGTGTGTATTCATTACCCTCTTATCATGGAAATAGACAATTTTAGTACTTTTGTCTTTTGACCTTCATATTAGCTTTATAGGTGGTTGATCTGCTACCTTTCCGGTATATTTGCCTTTACCAGTGATTTTATTGGTTTTTTTTTTGGATAATTTTCTTACGTCTATTTGTGTTTTTCTCTTTTCCACTTAAGTAAATCCCTGTAGCATTTCTTGTAAAACTTGTTTCTTGGTGATAAACTCCTTCAGTTTTTGCTTGTTTGGGAAATTCTTTCTGTCTCCCATTCTGAATGATAACCTTGCCAGGTAGAGTATTTTTGGCTGTAGATTTTTTCCTTTCAGCACTTTAAATATATCGTACCACTCCCTTTTAGCCTATAAGGTTTCTGCTGAGGAGAAAGCTGATAGCCTTATGGGGTTTCCTTTGTGTGTAACTTGTTCCCTTTCTCTTGTAGCTTTTAGGATTCTCTCTTTATCTTTAATTCTTGACATTTTAATTATAATGTATCTTGGTGTGGGCCTCTTTGGGTTTATCTTGTTTGGTGCTGTCTGTGCTTCCTTTACCTGGATGTCTGTTTCTTTCCTTAGGTTAAGAAAATTTTCAGTTATTATTTGTTAAAATAGATTCTCTGTCCCTTTGTCTCTCTCTTCTCCTTCTGGGACACCTACAATATGGATGTTAGTGCACTTGATGTTGTCCCAGAGGTCCCTTAGACAGTCGTCGTTCTTTTTTTTTTTGAGGAAGATTAGCCCTGAGCTAACTACTGCCAATCCTCCTCTTTTTGCTGAGGAAGACTGGCCCTGAGCTAACATCCATGCCCATCTTCCTCTACTTTATACATGGGACGCCTACTGCAGCATGGCATGCCAAGTGGTACCATGTCTGCACCCGGGATCTGA